TAAACAAGACAAATTTCATGTCTTGACTTAATTTGCGTCTTAAGACCGAACACTGTTGTTCTGATCTAAATTGAATTCTTATTTAACAGTAGCAATGATAAGTATAACTGAACTAAATAGCAGTTATTTACTAGTATAGGGTTGTGTGTTTCACCTTACAAAAGGGGGGGGGAAAACCCCAAGTGTTCCCAGTATGTAACTGTCAGAACTGCCGAGTACTACACCTTTCTTTCACATCCTAAGTAATTTAGTGTCAAACAGGACAAAAGAACTTGTGACTTTCCACATTATTCTTAAATTTGGTTTGGTACATGCCCATTGCACAAATTTGATCGCTTTAGTTTGACTGTTTTGTATCACGCTTGATCCTGTTTGTCTAGCCTGTTGATGCTGTTCCATTTTATTGCCAAGAAGAAGAAGCAAACAGACACAACATGTATGTAATGTTGTTTGTTGATGACGTTAATAGCAAGTCTGTCATCCACTCACTTTGTTTTGCAAGTTTGAGATTAGCATGTACTTTAAGCTGGCAGCAGGAAGTTTGATGTTATCTCTTGTTTAGCAGCTGGTTTTGAGCTATTAAACAAACATGAAATGCTGTTATTTTATTCCATAACTTCTCTTATCGATTGATCAGATGTTTTGTAAACAGCTGAAATTACACTTTTGTAAGAGTAAAGATTACGTATGTTATGTATGTTATGTATGGTATGTATGGTATGTATGGTATGTATGGTATGTATGGTATGTATGTTATGTATGTTATGTATGTTATGTATGTTATGTATGGTATGTATGGTATGTATGGTATGTATGTGTAATTTATTAATTAGGGGGTGCAACAATACTCGTATCGATATTGAACCGTTCGATACAGTGCTTTCGGTTCGGCACGCATATGTATTGAACAATACAAAATTTTCTGTTGAGTGCTCAGTGGATCTTCGTTCGACTACTCCGCCTAGGCTGCACTGTCAAGCGCAGATCCACTGAGCTAGCAAGACAGAAGCTAAGCTCGTTGCAACATGGCTACTGCCTCAACGCTACCCGAAACTGAAGCTGTGTCCCAAAACGTCGGCTGCATCCTTTGGAGGACCCGGCCTTCGCGGTCTACGTGGGCCGGGGTCCTTCACAGACATGGACAAAAGTAAAACAGTATCTCGGATGTACCACGCAATGCTCAATTGGTGGGAACTAGTGCGTTAGTGCAGTTAGCTTCTTAACGTGTTGACACCGTCCAGCCCCACGCACGGGGTGATCCGTGGTAACTCGTTAACGGAGATTTGCCGCGTTATGGCGTTAATGTCATTTTAATGAGATTAACGCTGACAGCACTAGTGGGAACACAATGAATATGACTGCACATTAACGCCGACATCATCCTAGTGCAAAGACAAGTGGAAGCAGACAAAAACAACAAGCACGCATGCTACAAACTTTACCCGAGTCATTTAGACAGCCATGATTCTCCGTATGGGGACCTGTATCGAACCGTGACACCAAAGTATCGAACCGATCCAAACCGTGAATTTTGTGTATCGTTGCACCCCTAATATACATGTGTATATTTATACAGAATTTCTCTTTTTCAGTATAAAGTTGACTTGGGTTTACTGATCTTACAAAAATGATGACTTGAATCTCAACTGGAGGATTGAAACTAAAAGATCCTCTCCTGCTCTAATGCGAGCATTGTTCCTGTGTACTTATATGTTTGTGGTGTGTGGTGCTGAGTTCCACAGTGGGTATGATTTATTGTTAGGGGGTTATGTAATAGAGGGTTCACATGTAGGGTTTGTGTACTGTCTTTACTAAAAACAATTTACTTTAAAGCGGTATGTGAAGGTTTGAATGTATTTGTCAAGGCATGAACGTGAGGTGTGTGTTTGCATTACCTGCTGACCGAGACTTGAACAGGTAATATTATATTTATTTAAAAAGTTGGTAAATATTGATGCATATTTAGTGAGGCTTTGCTTAGTAACCAGATGAATGAGTATCTGCCTGCTTTTTGGGGGGATTTTTAAGCTACTTTCATGAAAATGCAGGTAGTATTTTCTTACGTTTTGGGGAGCTGGGTGTCATTTATGTTTTTCAAGCACAGTTTTTGTTTAGTTTTTGGTTTCTTTTTTCACATCAGACTTGCTGTCTAAAATCATCTGTAAAAGCCCAGTTGAGTCAAAAATCTAACACATTGTTAGTTCCTGCACACTGGGCGAGACTCTGATCACCTGTTCTCTGTACTGAGTCCTTCTGCAAGCCGCTTTGCAGCCCACATCAACCCCAGTTCCTCAATTTCATGCTTTTTGTGACTTGGCCATTGTCATTTCTTTTTCTTTTTCCCTCTGAGGGTATCCTGGTGCTGATCTCCCTGATTTTTGGCTTTCCATGAATGTACATGAGAGGTTCCCAGAACAGAGCGACACCAAAGCTTTGAACATTTAAAAAAGAAAAGGGGAAAGAATTGTTTATTTCCTGACCTTTTGTATTTATTTCTAGCACAAACAAATACAGGCTCTGTAAACCTGCAGCAGCTTATCCAGGATCACTAACCTCATCCTTGCCAAAAATAGGCCGCAGATCCTCCCATTTTAATGAAAATCTGGTGGAAAATTTACATTCGCAGTAATGGCCACCCTCACCCTGAGCTCACCACACCTGCAGGGTTCACTGACGGAACAAGGCCTGAGTCACATTTATTCGATCATATGTATAAAGTGGGACGAGGTAGACCTCAATAAACATTGCATTGCTCACTGTTTCACGTAGGCCATGGCTGCTGCTGATACAGAGGGTGTGTCTGTTTATTGCTTTCGCCATTACGTGTGTGTGTGTGTGTGTGTGTGTGTGTGTGTGTGTGTGTGTGT